GAAGTCCAAGCAATACACTGCCTTCGTGGCGCAAGGACATGGGACTTACGAATTTAATGTTTTAAGTTTTGGATTATGCAACGCTCCAGCCACTTTCCAAGAACTAGCAGACCAAGTTTTTTGGGATATGAAATGGAAGGAAGTGCTAATCTACCTAGACGACATCATTATATTCTCACAAACATTCGAAGAACACTTGAGCAAACTAAAGAAAGTTTTTGAGCGATTGCGACAAGCTAATCTTACTCTAAAACCAAGCAAATGCGAATATTTGAAACAAGAAATCAAAATACTAGGATTTAAAGTAAAGGAGCAAGGCATATTACCAGATGAAGAAAAAATAATTTGCATAAAAGGGTTCCCGACGCCAAAGAAAATTAAAGATGTACAGAGCTTTCTAGGATTATGTAATTTTTATAGAAAATTTATACATAACTTTGCATCAATAGCAAGACCGCTACATGAAGTAACAAGAAAGAACATAGGGTTCAAATGGGGTTCTGAACAAAACAAAGCATTTAACATTCTTAAAGAAAAACTGGTTTCCGCACCTGTGCTACAGCATTTCAATCCAAATAAAGATACCATTTTGCACACCGACGCAGCAACATGTGGAATTGGGACAGTACTTTTACAAGAAGACGACAAGGGAGAAGCACATCCAATAGCCTACATAAGCAGGAGTCTTTCAAATAGCGAGAAGAACTATTCAATTAGTGAATTAGAACTCTTAGGCGTAGTGTGGGCATTGAGCTATTTGAGACACTTAATCTATGGGAGACCAGTAAAAATCGTTACTGACCATCATGCTCTTTGCTGGATGGACTCCATTAAGGAAAGTAACAGACGCTTGGCCAGGTGGGCACTAAAACTTGCAGAATTTGATTACACGGTTGTATATAAAAAAGGATCAACACATAGCGACGCCGACTGTATGTCCCGCAATCCAGTGCTTCAACCAGAATTCGAGGAAAAAGAAGAACAAGAGGAGCTCCCCACATTCACACTAAAATCAATGCAAACGGCTACATTACAGGAGAAAGACCCAAGTCTAAAACAAATATTCAAAGGTATAAGAAACCCAGACGACCCAGAAATTAATATTGGCATCAGAAGAATAGCAAAAAATTTTAGGATTGAGAAAGACTTACTCTATAAAATTAATAAGACAAAAAACGGCTTAGAAAAAGTATTAGTAGTACCAAAATCAATGAGAGAAGAAATTTTGTGGGAGCTACATGCATCACCGACAAGTGGACACTTGGGACTGAGCAAAACAACGGACAAAATTAAAAACAGATTTTTTTGGGATGGAATGCTCAAGGACATCGAAAAGTACGTTAAGGGATGCCCAGATTGTCAAGCTAGAAAGGGGCAACCTTACAGAAAAACGCCAGGGATGTTACAACCAATACCGGTGGGAACAATTTTCGACAAAATCGGAATTGATCTTTTAGGCCCATTTAGAAGAAGCAGTAAAGGGAAAACAATGATAGTTGTAGTTACCGATTACGCCTCACGATATGCCATCACAGCCGCCCTACCGAATGGAAAAGCCGGACCAGTTGCAAATATTCTTAATACACGGGATGCCAAGAAATCTGCTCAGCGACAGAGGAAAAGTTTTTCAATCGGAATTAGTAAGGGAATTAGGAAAATTAATGGGAGTAAGAAGCCAATTTACAACCACATACCATCCTTGTTGTAATGGTCTCACTGAAAGGCTAAATAAGACAATAGCTGACATGTTATCCATGTATTGTAACACACAGCAAACAGACTGGTGTAGCTATCTACCATTTATAACATTTGCGTATAATACAGCAATACAGGACACAACGAGATTTAGCCCATTTATGTTAACATATGCAAGGGAACCCACACTACCAGCAGAAGCTGCATTGTTGGACGCTGACAACGAAACGGACGCTCTGCAAATTAGAGAAAAGGCACTCTTAATAAGAGCCATAGCAGTAGAAAATATACAAAAAAGACAAGGAAAAGATAAGGGACGTTTTGACGAACGACATAGAGAATTAGATTTCGTAGTTGGAGAAAAAGTTAAGGTTTTCATACCAATTAGAAAGGTTGGAAGAAGCGAAAAGTTACTCTTAAGATGGTTTGGACCATACAAAGTAATTAGAAAAATGGGAGAAGTGAATTACGAGGTACAAAAGATTGGAAGCAGAAAAAAGGATACGGTCCACGTGAGTAGGATGTTGCCCTACTACGATCCATGGACAGAAGCTGCGCCTATTGAAGAAAGGGCAGATGAGACAGATATAGCTGAAAACGCAGAATCTGAAGTTGATGAGGATGAAGAAGACGAAGAAAAAATTGAAGAAGAAATTGGAAGCAGTGAAGCAGAAAACGAGGAAGAAGAAGACTGATTATACAGATAACACATAAGCAAAATTATGAAGTAGGGAAATAGGAAGTAGAGATAGGATGAAAAAATAGAGTAAGAGATTAAATAGAGTAAACAAGGAGGGATGGAGAGAAATGACAGCTCAATATAAGAGGAAACTAGTGGATGACCTCATAATTCTAGGGGAAGATAGAGAATATGAATTACCATGAAAGAAGAAGAATCAGAAACATTCTTATCGACGGAAGAAGCCGCCGAAGGGATTTTAGAAAAGTACGAGCTGCAAAAAGAAGGCATATGGGTATACAAAAAACAAGTTGGACTAAACTTACCTGTTGAAGCCAGGATCAACAAATAACCAAATGATGAAATTCGGTGGCCCGAATGAGGGTCATAATTAAACTATGTAATTGTAATTATAGGAATAAGCACATTTTTTTAAATATTATTTTATTTTTTGCATGTATATACAAAACCACCAACCAGGGACGGACTACAAAACAAATTCGAGGGAAGGCATTGTAATAGAAGGACCTAGTTCTGGACTGAGCAGGGGCTAGGAACTTCAAACCAGAAGAAACAAATGGATATGGACCAAAAGTAGACAGACCACAGTACCATTTCCACCACACTCACAAAAGAGATGATCAAGGATTACTTGGGCCGTGGGACCGCGCAAACCCACGACCCAGATGACCAAATCATCAGGAAGTACTTGGAGCCAGAACCAATCCACTTGAAAGACAGAATACAGCACAATGAACAAGAAAGAAGCATAACAAACCAGGAAGCGACACTTAGACCGTGGGATCGATATCACCCCACGATCTAGCTGACCTACCAAGAAGTATTTGGAACCAGAACAGACCCACAACACAGAAAACAGGACCGGACCAAAAGAGAAAAACCCGAGGAAAAACCCATGGCTGAAACGGTGAAGTTGATGAAATTTCTTAGTTGTAAGATATTTTTTTTTTTTTTGTAGTAACCTGAATAATAATGCACCCTCATCCATCCCACCATAAAAAACTTTTGTTAATTTTGATTTTTAATTTTTTTCTCTATACCTACGCGATATTTGGATTATATAATTGTTAAGCATCAGGGATATTTTATAATTAGGCTATTATTGTAAAGAAGGGATATTTTTAGGATAAGGATATTATTGTATTTTTTGACACTATTATGGTATTTGTATATAATTTGTTGTAAATGTCTCTTCCAAGCATTGGGGTCCAATGCTTCATGGAGGGGGGGCATATGTCAACTAGCTGCTTGGGAAAGGAGGACCCGGTATTCAACCTTATTAATTTAATTGCCGATTCGATCGAATATTTATTGCAATTCAGCAATAAATTAATATAAATTGCGCTGCAAGCCGCAGCAAAGGTAGACTTAAACCAGTGCAAGTACCTCTCGTTGGAAAAGCCCCTCTGGAATTAAGTCTCCCCAGTGCAAGTACCTCTCGTTGGGAACACCCCTCTGGGTATCTTCAGCCTTATCGTTGTCCAGTGCAATTACCTCTCGTTGGGAACGCCCCTCTGGACAAGGCATAAGGGTGACGATAAACTAATCTACAGTCCTCCAAGCAGCATTGACGTGTGGCTCCCTATAAGGACCCCAGTGTTCGCCGGGTCATGTATCTTATAGGATTAGCATACACGTAAGGTTATATTTGGGAAAATATATAGCATATATTTTTATATAACCTGAGCGAGTTTCTCTCCATCAACCCCCAAAGCTACAAACCCCCCATGTCACCCCCGTAAAGCGGACAGTTGTGACACTATATATTAATATTTAAAAGTAACAAGAGGTTGGGAACAAGATGGCGGCGGGACCTCTATTGTCGCCACTGTATGTAAAGGTTTATTTAGCCACTGTAAATACAGTATACTCGCGCTAATATAAACACACGCTTCTGTGAACCTGCCAATAGTATGAACAGCTAGAATGCATACATTATATATACTGTAGTGTGAACTTTTCAGAATCTTGGTAGTATGAACATGAACAATGCATTTAACCACGAATTCGGAACTCGAGCATGCGCGTAAATTGCCAAATGTCTACAGAGATCCCAGTTATTTGAATTTTGGTCATGTTTATTTTGTACAAATTCCAGAATATTTAATTTGAAGTAGCTGTTATTTCGTTTAAAAAATCTGAACATATTAGATTTATGGCGTTCGTTCCAAATATATATTTACTTAATAATGTAACTCGTATCATTTTAAAAAGTCAAACAAATAATTTGAAAAAACCAAATATGCAGATTTATTTAAACCAAATACATTTTCGTTGGTTCAACTAATCTTTATTTGGATGAAATAAAAAAAAATCAAATAAATATTTATTAGGCAAATTTTTCACTAATTTTTTCAGTGCAGTTATATTTTCTCTTCCTTCCTATTTATCCGCTAGCAAACTACGATTTTTGACATTTCAAATGGGATTATTTATACATGAGTGGAATTGCCAGTAGTAAAACGAGGCTTACTACTGGATAATTTCCAGGCAGTATTTAGACTTGAATTGTTCGGAAGATTTCAGGCACAACCAATCACTAGCTGAAATTTATTACGCCTACCAGACAATCCACAAATACTTAGAAGAACCTTTCACATCTTACATGCCAGAAGCATTATTTAATATTTCCAGATTCCTAGTAGTTGAAATTGGTTTTAATAAGCCTCAAAACATTTCTCAATTTGCTATAATATTTACTCTAGCTAAACAAGCTTCTAAGTTAGGTGCAAACAAGCTGGCAAATCAGTTGTATGACAAGCTACAATATTTGAAAATCCCCAAGAAATTCGAAGAGCAACTCGAAATTGCTGCAATTGCCTCAAAATCCAAACCCTATCGGGATCCGGAAGAGCTTCTACCAATGTGCTATCGTTGTTCGACTTACAATCCTGCCTTAACCAATTTTTGCACCAGTTGCAAACAACAATTTGTTTATTCGTTTGTAAGTTTCGAGCTGTTGCCTTTAGTTGAGTTCAAAATTGAAGCAAACCTAACTGACGATGAAGCTGTGAGGCTTATTCAAACTCCGCATAAGCGTGAGTGCATTTTAAATGAAAATGTGCAAACTTTAGAGTTGGCTAGTGATACAACAAATTTTGCAGTAATATTGAGCAAGCAAGAGTTGTTGGAATTGGAGCCCGAGACTGTTTTGGTGTGCAAATGGGGCCCGCCTTTGAAATATCAGTTTTATAGGAATGTTTTGCCAGAGTTAAATGTTACTGTTTGTAATTCTTGCTTTAAAGCGTTTCACGTTGATGATTTCGAGCTGCAATTGCTTCAAAAGGGCTTTTGCCCTTTTTGTAGGGTGGCTCCTGATAGTGTAGACCTGAATGATGATTTTGTTGTTGAATAAAAATTGTTTTAAACTTACCAAGAGCTATTTTCTTTTATAAACAAGGCGGGAAACCGGCCATTTTATTATTATATAGCGATTTCATTATTTGTAAAATCGGTGTATTGTTATTCTTCTTTTTTTACATGGTTTTAGAAAAAGATGCAAATACTCCTGATTGACAAATAATATTTCAAAGTCAAAGACTAAAGAGGGCGTTAGTAGTAATAATGGCGGCAATGGCGTTTAGTAGTGTTCGTATTGTAGCTTGTAAATTTATTATTTTAAATGTGAAAAAGGTTTCTAAAACGTTATTTGTTGTGTCCGGCTTTGAATTAATCATAAATAAATCAAGGTAAGTGAAAATTGTCATTCCAGGATTCACAAAAGGTTTTCCATCCAGAAAGCTACTTAGGCTGGATTTATACAGCAAATAAAATAAAATAAGCTAAAGTAAAAAATAAGAAATAACATGAGATAATCATAAAGTGTTTATACAGAAAATAACAAATAAAATAAGAAATGCATTAGTTATGTAGGTATTTATTATTTTATCTTATGTTATTTTATTTGCTGTACAAATCCAGCTTTATTCAACAAAAGTTTAACATTTAGCCTCAATCAAATACGAATTTTTTCATCAAATAAGGGGTATTTATTCAAATTTAAACGTTTTTAGGGTTTCGATAAGTCTCTTTAACTGTGGCGCCATCTAGCGGCAAACAAATGCAAAATTTGTGGAAAAAGACTTTAAAACCTAATTATTCAATAAGAGGCAATTAATTCATTGAATCAGGTTCTAATTTAATTATTTATTCGCTTTTAAGCGTTTGGGTTTTTAAAATTCTCTCAAAAAAATGGTACACCATCTATCGGCAAACGAGTGTAGCTTTATTGCGCCGAATTTATAGTCATTCCTTGAGTCTGCCTTAAAGGTCGTAAGTTCAGAATGGACCAGGCCCTGCGATCTCTTATTGCCAGTAATAAACCACATAATAACTCTTTTCCGTTTTCCTAGATGTCGCTGACAACAACAGAATTGTAAAATACCAACACATCAAGAACACGTCCGATGTCGATAACATTGACATGAGATTGACATGTCAACATATGACAATATGCCAAAATATTCATTCGTTCATAACTAATAATTCATAATGTTTTTCGTTCGCCGGTCTTACATTTCGTCTTTCTTTGTATTGTCAAGTGTTTCTAAGTGATTTCAAAGTTGTTTTATGTGTTTCACAAAGACCTTCAAACTTTATAGATTGGGAGATCTATTTTTATCCTTGTTGATTAGATTAATGACAGGTTCAATTAAACATCAATCAGAACTTTGAATAAATATGTCAAGGATATCCTTACCCATCGATAAAGGAACTGTCTTTTGATCTAATTAACAAAACATCAATTAATTTAAAGCAAACATTAATGTCCCAAAGTCTAAAATAAACAAATTTGAACAGACCTACTGTAATGCGAACAAGGCGCCATCTATCATATAAATGCCTTGAAGCCCTATGTAAAGTAGGTGTCTGTAGCGTCGATGATATATAGTTTCCAATATGGTAGATGGCGCTAGCTTGGCTCAATTTTGTTGACAACAAAATATACACTGAGATTCCATTCTCGACAGTTTATATAGTATTTATCTCTGGAATGGACACTTGGTACTATTTGACAAGTTAGTCATGTCAATATTCTAAACGTTCAAGGCTTCCTTAAGGTCCAAGGAAACCTCAAGGAGCGACTATAAATTCGGCCCTAAATCCCGTACAAATTTCTAATTTGAAATTTAGATACAGCTTTTATAGTTTTGCAGCTGCGCAGGGGTCGGCAAAAAAAATCTACATTTCCATATTTAATTTTTTAGGGAAAAGAATGAAGGTAAATTATTCCTTGAACTCACCTGTTTACACCTGATTTGCAGGTATTCTTGCCAGGAAAAAGGTAGCCAACCATGCTGTGGCGTTTTCCACATGTTGTTTGCCTTCAATTTATACCAAATTTATTTAGGAAAAGAATGACCGAGCATGTATTTTTTGACAGTTGACATTTTAAATCATAATTTTTCCTTGAATAGTTTTCCAGAAAAAAAATAAAATGCTAAATGGTGCATTTATGTCCAATTTAGTTGATTTTCATTAGTTTCAAATGGGGTTATTTTTCACTGAAAAAATTTGAAATTTTAGTATGATACGCCTATGACTTTTCTTTTTTTTTCCAGAAAATTTCATATTTTTTCTTTGGATAGTTTTCCAGAAAAAAAATAAAATGTTTGATGGTGCATTTATGTCTAATTTAGTTGATTTTTATTAATTTCCAATGAGGTTATTTTCCATTGGAAAAATTTAAAATTTTACTATGATACGCCCCTGACTTTCTTCTTTTTTTTCCAGCAATGTCATAATTTTTCCTTAAATAGTTTTCCAGGAAAAAAAAGAAATTAGATGGTGCATTTTATGCCTAATTTAGTTGATATTCATTAATTTCCAATGGGGTTATTTTCCACTGGAAAAATTTGAAATTTTACTATAATACGTCCCTGACTTTTCTATTTTTTTTCAGAAAATGTCATAATTTTCCCCTAAATAGTTTTCCAGAAGAAAAATAAAATGTTGGATGTTGCATTTATGCATAATTTAGTTGATTTTCATTAATTTCTAATGGGGTTATTTTCCACTGAAAAAATTTGAAATTTTACTATGATACGCCCCTGACTTTTTTCGCTTTGTCCAGAAAATTTCATAATTTTCCTTTGGATAGTTTTCCAGAAAAAAAATAAAATGTTTGATGATGCATATTTATGTCTAATTCAATTAATTTTCATTAATTTCCAATAGGGTTATTTTTCACTGGAAAAATTTGAAATTTTATCATGATACGCCCCTGATTGTCCTCTTTTTTTTTTACCAGAAAATGTCATAATTTTCCCCCAAATAGTTTTCCAAAAGAAAAATAAAATGTTAGATGGTTCAATTATATCTTATTTAGTTGATTTTCATTAATTTTCAATGGGGTTAATTTTCACTGGAAAAATTTGAAATTTTGTTATGATACGCCCCTGACTTTTCTCGTTTTGTCCAGAAAATTTCATAATTTTCCTTCGGATAGTTTTCCAGAAAAAAAATAAAATGTTAAATGGTGCATATTTATGTCTAATTCAATTAATTTTCATTAATTTCCAATAGGGTTATTTTTCACTGGAAAAATTTGAAATTTTGTTATGATACGCCCCTGACTTTTCTCGTTTTGTCCAGAAAATTTCATAATTTTCCTTCGGATAGTTTTCCAAAAAAAAAATAAAATGTTAAATGGTGCATATTTATGTCTAATTCAATTAATTTTCATTAATTTCCAATAGGGTTATTTTTCACTGGAAAAATTTGAAATTTTGTTATGATACGCCCCTGACTTTTCTCGTTTTGTCCAGAAAATTTCATAATTTTCCTTCGGATAGTTTTCCAGAAAAAAAATAAAATGTTTAATGGTGCATATTTATGTCTAATTCAATTAATTTTCATTAATTTCCAATAGGGTTATTTTTCACTGGAAAAATTTGAAATTTTGTTATGATACGCCCCTGACTTTTCTCGTTTTGTCCAGAAAATTTCATAATTTTCCTTCGGATAGTTTTCCAGAAAAAAAATAAAATGTTAAATGGTGCATATTTATGTCTAATTCAATTAATTTTCATTAATTTCCAATAGGGTTAATTTTCACTGGAAAAATTTAAAATTTTAGTATGACACGTCTCTGACTTTTCTCGCTTTGTCCAGAAAATTTCATAATTTTCCTTTGGATAGTTTTCCAGAAAAAAAATAAAATGTTTGATGATGCATATTTATGTCTAATTCAATTAATTTTCATTAATTTCCAATAGGGTTATTTTTCACTGGAAAAATTTGAAATTTTATCATGATACGCCCCTGATTGTCCTCTTTTTTTTTTACCAGAAAATGTCATAATTTTCCCCCAAATAGTTTTCCAAAAGAAAAATAAAATGTTAGATGGTTCAATTATATCTTATTTAGTTGATTTTCATTAATTTTCAATGGGGTTAATTTTCACTGGAAAAATTTGAAATTTTGTTATGATACGCCCCTGACTTTTCTCGTTTTGTCCAGAAAATTTCATAATTTTCCTTCGGATAGTTTTCCAGAAAAAAAATAAAATGTTAAATGGTGCATATTTATGTCTAATTCAATTAATTTTCATTAATTTCCAATAGGGTTATTTTTCACTGGAAAAATTTGAAATTTTGTTATGATACGCCCCTGACTTTTCTCGTTTTGTCCAGAAAATTTCATAATTTTCCTTCGGATAGTTTTCCAGAAAAAAAATAAAATGTTAAATGGTGCATATTTATGTCTAATTCAATTAATTTTCATTAATTTCCAATAGGGTTATTTTTCACTGGAAAAATTTGAAATTTTGTTATGATACGCCCCTGACTTTTCTCGTTTTGTCCAGAAAATTTCATAATTTTCCTTCGGATAGTTTTCCAGAAAAAAAATAAAATGTTAAATGGTGCATATTTATGTCTAATTCAATTAATTTTCATTAATTTCCAATAGGGTTATTTTTCACTGGAAAAATTTGAAATTTTGTTATGATACGCCCCTGACTTTTCTCGTTTTGTCCAGAAAATTTCATAATTTTCCTTCGGATAGTTTTCCAGAAAAAAAATAAAATGTTAAATGGTGCATATTTATGTCTAATTCAATTAATTTTCATTAATTTCCAATAGGGTTATTTTTCACTGGAAAAATTTGAAATTTTGTTATGATACGCCCCTGACTTTTCTCGTTTTGTCCAGAAAATTTCATAATTTTCCTTCGGATAGTTTTCCAGAAAAAAAATAAAATGTTAAATGGTGCATATTTATGTCTAATTCAATTAATTTTCATTAATTTCCAATAGGGTTATTTTTCACTGGAAAAATTTGAAATTTTGTTATGATACGCCCCTGACTTTTCTCGTTTTGTCCAGAAAATTTCATAATTTTCCTTCGGATAGTTTTCCAGAAAAAAAATAAAATGTTAAATGGTGCATATTTATGTCTAATTTAATTAATTTTCATTAATTTCCAATAGGGTTATTTTTCACTGGAAAAATTTGAAATTTTATCATGATACGCCCCTGATTGTCCTCTTTTTTTTTACCAGAAAATGTCATAATTTTCCCCCAAATAGTTTTCCAAAAGAAAAATAAAATGTTAGATGGTTCAATTATATCTTATTTAGTTGATTTTCATTAATTTTCAATGGGGTTAATTTTCACTGGAAAAATTTGAAATTTTGTTATGATACGCCCCTGACTTTTCTCGTTTTGTCCAGAAAATTTCATAATTTTCCTTCGGATAGTTTTCCAGAAAAAAAATAAAATGTTAAATGGTGCATATTTATGTCTAATTCAATTAATTTTCATTAATTTCCAATAGGGTTATTTTTCACTGGAAAAATTTGAAATTTTGTTATGATACGCCCCTGACTTTTCTCGTTTTGTCCAGAAAATTTCATAATTTTCCTTCGGATAGTTTTCCAGAAAAAAAATAAAATGTTAAATGGTGCATATTTATGTCTAATTCAATTAATTTTCATTAATTTCCAATAGGGTTAATTTTCACTGGAAAAATTTAAAATTTTAGTATGACACGTCTCTGACTTTTCTCGCTTTGTCCAGAAAATTTCATAATTTTCCTTTGGATAGTTTTCCAGAAAAAAAATAAAATATTAAAAGGTGCAATTAAAACTAATTTAGTTGATTTTCATTAATTTCCAATAGGTTAATTTTCTATTTGAAAAATTTGAAATTTAAATATGATACGCCTTTGATTTCTTGTTTTGTCCAGAAAATTTCATAATAGTTCACGTTATACCCGCAGGCCTATTCTCTACGAACAGCAGTTTGTCAATTTTGATTTTTATTTTTTGATAAAAATCAAACAACTCCGGCCCTTCGGGCTCGCAATCCCCGAAAAAAAAAAACAAAAATAATTACAAGGCCTACTTTGGCCTGTCAAAACTTTTTGACGTTTGTGCGTCAGAGTTTCAAAACCCGAAGCATTTGCGAATTAGATTGACATTGACCTTCATTCCGATTTTAACGTAATTAGGCCTACAAAATCACTAAATTTGAAGTTTCGACGCAATTTCAATAGTTTGATTTTTTTTTTGACATCGCTTCATATTTCTGTCAATTGTCAACTGATTTTAACTTACCAAGACACTTACAACTTACCATCTTTCATAGAATAATCCAAAATGTCTTTCAACTCTTGCCAATCAACTTCCCGATCTTCGCCGGCCAATTTAAGGAAAATCTTGTAAACCTCGTCGGTTTCCAGAATTTCCTCGCGGCTCAATTCTTTTTGGGCAATCTATATACAAATACAATTTTACTTATATTTTTGCAACTTTTCATTGGCTACCTTAATCCAAGCTTCTTTGATCGAGGTTTTTGGATGGTACGGTTCATTTTGGATGGGATTTGGGACAAGTTCGTCAATAACGGCCAATAATAGATAAATAATGAAGGAAAACGGGTCTTTTTGGGAGGAGGCAACTTACTTTATCGTCCAATTGTCCGTAGCCGATTTGATGGTCGTTTTCCCTATATTAGAGGAAACAAATCAGTTAGTAATAATTGGAAAATAGTGTTAAAATAAAACCAGCCTTGTTTTGTACAGCTTATTATTAAAAGAAAAATGCAATAATTATTAAAGGTGGATATACATACACAAAAACAACATTTAAATATTAGTATGACCCAGTGGCGGCTCGTCAGAGGAGGCAGGGGAGGCTAAACCTCCCTCAAAAAATTGAAAATTCAATCTCAATTTTTTATTCCTGATTTCTAATTAAAATAATAATTCACAACGCGAGCCCGAAGGGCCGGAGTTATACGCGAATCCGGCCCGAAGGGCCGGAGTAATACGCAAACCCGGCCCGAAGGGCCGGAGTAATACGCAAACCCGGCCCGAAGGGCCGAAGTAATACGCAAACCCGGCTCGAAGGGCCGGAGTTATACGCGAATCCGGCCCGAAGGGCCGGAGTAATACGCAAACCCGGCCCGCAGGGCCGGAGTTATACGCGAATCCGGCCCGAAGGGCCGGAGTAATACGCAAACCCGACCCGAAGGGCCGGAGTAATACGCGAGCCCGAAGGGCCGGAGTGATACGCGAACCCGGCCCGAAGGGCCGGAGTAATACGCGAACCCGGCCCGAAGGGCCGGAGTAATACGCGAACCCGGCCCGAAGGGCCGGAGTAATACGCGAACCCGCGATTTTTACTTTTTTCAGAAAACGGTGGTTTTTGCAAACATATACTACTTTATCGTTGTCTTTGTCTTACTCAATATAATCAATAAGGAAACCTTGTAATGTCATTTTCATCGAAATTAAACTAAAAATAAGTTTCCTATGATTTATTTGGGGAATTTTAATTATTATAATCATTATTAATTAATTATTAAATTAAATTTTAAACAAAAAAAACCCCTTTAAAATGTTATTTTTGTTTTCCGAAATGAGATGTGGCAACGTTGCTTTTAGTTGGCCATTTTGAAGTGACGCTTTGTGATTTTTTGCCAGTTTTTTCTCGAATTTTCCACTTTTCCGGGGCTTTTCAATGGAAAAAGGCGATTTAACATACGAGGCTTTCAGTTTTCTTTATTTTCTAACAAAAATGTCCAGTTTTAAAATGACATAAATAACAAAATCCCATTTAAAAAGGGTTTTTTTGGAAGTTTTGATGTGGCAACACCGTTTGTGCCAACTTCAAGTAAATTTTGTAATAAATGTCATTTGCCAGTTTTGACAGTCGGCAATTTTTAATTGACGTGTTTACATTTCTATCCAGTTTTTCCTTGAATTTTCCGCTTTTCCAAGCCGTTTTCTGTCAATAAAACTGATTTAAAATACGAGGCTTTGAATTTCCTACATTTTGTGCTAAAAATTCCCAGTTTTCCAATGGGGTAAGTGACAAAAACTCAAATTTCATTAAGTAGACTTTGGAATGTCATTTTTAGAGGTTTTTCTTTAGATTTGTCCGCTTTTCCAGGGCTTTTCTGGTCGGAAAAGCCGATTTAAAGTACGAGGCTTTGAGTTTTCTTCATTTTCCACCAAAAATTTCCAGTGTTTTAACGGGGTAAGTGAGAAAAACTCTAGTTTTATCAAGTAGGTTTTGGAATGTCATTTTCGTTGTTTTTTTTTTTGGAATTTTTAATTAAAGTTTTTGGGGTCCGGGAAACGTTTTCTACCACTTTTTTTCTCGAAATTCGCAAAATATGACGTTGACAGCTGTCAATTTTTTTTTGACACAAATCGATAGTTGGCATCGCGAAACTGCCTTGTACCGGGGTTTGATTTTCGTAGCTTTTATAGTAAGCAGGGAAAAAGTCGAACATGTGATATCTGTCGATATTGACAAAAATTTTATCCGAACGAATCCGTTCATTGTCAACTGATTTTAATACTCCGGCCCTTCGGGCCGTAATCTTTGAAACAAAAAGACGTCATTTTGTATCGATTGTCAAAAAAACTCAAGGTTTAAAATTTCAATTTTTTGACGTTTGTTGTATCATGATAAGCAGTGTTGCCATATGTTTTTTTTTTTGTCAAATCTCGAGCTCGAAGGGCCAAGATTATAGGTTATTTTTAAGCCAATCAGAGCCGGGAATAATTAAAATTCAAATCCCCAAACCAATCAGGAGCCGGGAAAATTCAAAAATTCCAAACCCGACGGAAAATTGAATTTTTTATACCAACTGTTGTTATATAAATCTCACTCTAAAACCCACTTAAAAACGACTTGTTTTCTAACCTTTGTTTTTTGGAAAAAAACAAAAGAATTTTTTTTTTGAGATTGACAGCTGTCAAAATTTAAAAAAACCTACATGGGCATATAGATTTAGCTTTGGCGAATACGTAGGAAGTACCAATTTTTTTTTTTAACAAATGTCAAAAAAGAGTTTTTGACATATATCGATGAAACTTCTTATTTTAGAGTTTTCGGAGTTTGGGGATCGTTTTCTGACATTTGTTTTTTGAAAAAAAGAAAAAGTAAAATTTTTTGACATTGACAGTTGTCAAAATTTTAAAAAAAAATCCACATGAACATATGGATTTAGCCTCGGCGAATACGTAGAAAGTAGCCAAACAAGGCCAATTTTTTGACGTTTGTTGTATTATAAATAAGCAGTGTTGTTACATTTTTTTTTCTTTGAATTTCGATCAATTATGAGCTCAAAAGGCCGATGTTATACGAGTCCGAAGGTCCGAGGTTATACGAACCCGAAGGGCCGGAATTATACGTTGATTGGTAACTGATTTCAATACTTCGGCTCTTCTGATCGTAATTTTTGAAACAAAAAGACGCCATTTTATACGGCTGTCAAAAAAACCAAGGCCTACTTTGATATTTCAATTTTTTGACGTTTGTTGTATCATGAGCAGCGTTGCCATATGTTTTTATCAAATCTCGATTTATAGGTTATTTTAAACTCAATTATTGACATTTCTGAAAAATATTTCCTTTAAAACTCCCAAATATGCTTTGGAATCCCCAAAAATCTGTTAAAATCGCAGAATTCCATAATTTAGTAGAATTTCGAGGAATTTTGGTAGAATAATTATGTTATTCTGAAAAAGGAATTACATGTGAAATTTTCCATAATTCCTCTCGAATTACTTGAAATTTCAGTGAAATTCGGATCAAATTACACGAAATCCTAAATGAATTACATGGAGGAATTTTAAACAATTACATGAAATTACACCTAAATTCCCAACATGAAATTTCAGTTTTTACTGAATTTCAGTAATGCCGAGGAATTTCCAGCTAAAAACATGGAATTTCGGTGATATTCCGAAAAATTACCATGAAATTTCAATATATTTCGATGAATTTTTAAGAAATTACTTAAAACTTCATTAATATTCCCAGAAATTCCTGGCTATTAAAAGAGAATTTTAGTGAAATTCCAAAAAATTCTTTGAAAATAAATTAAATTTCCAAAATTCCTTGAAGTTTCATTGGACTTTCGAGAAGTTTTCGGTTATGAATGTAGATATTCTCATAAAATTTTAGTAAATTCCGAGAAATTATTAAGAAATTACATGAAATTCCGTAGAATTTTATGAAAATTTTGTGGAATTCCAAGATATTTTAGAGGTAAAATTTTGAGGAATTTTAGTTAAGTTAAAAAAAAAAATATGAAATTTTGAAATTAAATTCCGAGGAATTTCATAAAATCTTCTAATGAAATGTTAAGGTATTTATTTCTATGGAATTACTTAAAATTTTCGCGAAATTCCCATGGAATAACTTAAAATTTTAATGGAATTCCAAAGAACTTTGATGAAATCATCACTCCCCGAAATCGTGTCACAAATTCGTCCGAAATCCACAAAAATACTGCGAAATCCCTTCAGAATCTTTCAGAAATCTTTCCGTAAACCCAATTGGCTCAAAATTCATAAATGATAATCACTGAAAGTCTTTAAAATCTTTTAGCCTCCTCACTTGAAATAGTCACGAGCCGCCACTGGTGTGACCACAACCAAATAATAATAATAATATATACAAATTATTTAAATAACTTATTGAAAAAATTCATAATGGGATCTCCTTTGTTTCGCGGCGGTTGAGGAGGAGGATAACCTGGATATTGAGGATTCGAATAACCACCTGGTTGTGGATAAGAGGGATAACCTGGTTGCTGATATCCACCAGGATATCCACTTGGTTGTGGTGGATAACTTGGTTGCGGATAACTTGGTTGCGGATAAGAAGGATAACCATAAGCATTATCCTCCTGAGGCGTAGGAGGTGGACGATAACTAGGAACATCGTCCTCATCATCCACCTCCCTAGCCTGTCTGTAATTGGTACTACTAGAACCGGAAGCGTACTCCATATTGTTCTGGTTCTCGGAAAAGACCCTCAGCAAGAATTCGCCTTCTTCGTTCGGGTCAAAAGTGGACGGTACTATGCAATAAGTACCGGGCGGTAGCTTGAACCTGCACGAAACTTCGCGAAGGTTTATAAACGAAGGCGAACGAGCCACCGAGGCGTTGTATTTGAAAAATTGTAAATCCAAAGGTTTAGGGACTCTGTCTGGATATGGCAACTAAAAAATAATTCAATTAGCAATTTTTATTATATTATCGGGGCTTAATTACGTGATAAATGGCGAATCCTACTGTTAGTAAATCGGCACCGGTGCTGCGTATTTGGCGACGGTTCTTTTGCATCAGACCAACAATTAGGGTGCAGTTGCCTTCCTCGTCACCCTCGTCGATTTCGGTTAGGGTTATTCGGTACTGGGGATTGTGCCAGAAGGAATCTGCAACAAAAGTTTCAGCTTCAAAAACTAATCTTGTTTTACGTTAACAGATATTTCAATTTTGATTCAGAATATATAATTTTGCATTGTATTTTATGCAATAATAACCGAGTTATGAATGATTTTTTAAAGATATGTCGGATTAGCAACACATTTGAAATGTTGTCACCATACGCCATTTTGTTTCATTTGAATTGTTGTCATCAATCTCTAGATTGGCGGCGCCTTTGGTCTTTCGGGGATTTGACCCGGGCCAACCTTAAATTTTTCGACGTCATGATGTTATCCTATTACAGAACGCTGTAATATATAGTTGATAAGGTAAATTTGCGAATCATCATGCTGCCGAAGTTTAATGTGGAAACAAACAGGGGTACCATGTTTCACGGTTATTTTTTACTTATAAGTGATAAGCGTTTCCATTATAGCAAAAACAACAAGTTTAGACTTGCATTTATATTTTGTCGATGATAAATATGCATGTATATTTTCACTGCTGAGTGAAGGGTTTCCCTCAAATTATAAAAATTTTCGAATAATTCCCATGCGTTGGATCTATAGAGATTAACTTCCTTCCTTAAGATTCACTACTATTTCCCTAAGTTTTCCCCCGAATTCCTTAAGAATTTCCTTGATTTCCCCTTGTTTTTACACCAGATTTCCTTTGCGGTTTACACCTGAAGAATAACTTGCAGGTCAGGTTTTGTACAACAGGCAGATTTCTCCTGATTACCCAAGAGTTCCCCTAATAACATAACCTGAAATTATAAATATTTTTGAAAACTGCGCGTGCGCTGGATCTAGAGGTTAATTTATTTCCTTAAAATTTTCTCTGATTTCTTCAAGAATTTCCTTGACATCCCCTGATTGCCTTAAATTTTCTCTTGATTTCCCCTAGTTTGTATACTAGATTTCCCATTAATTATTTCCCCAGATTTCTTTTGATTACCAGTAAGATTGCCCAAAAATTTCGCTAATAACATAACCTGAAATTATAAATATTTTTGAAAACTGCGCGTGCGCTGGATCTAGAAATTGACTTATTTCTTCAAGATGACAGCTGTCAACGTCAAAAAAGTGTTTATTTTTTATTTTGCAAACTTCGAGAAAAAAAGAGGTAGAAAAAACGATCCCCGAACCCCAAATACCTTAAATAAAAATTCCAAAAAAAAAAAAACCAACGAAAATGACATTTCAAAATCTACTTGATAAAATTAAAGTTTTTTTCACTTACCCCGTTAAAACACTGGAAATTTTTGGTGGAAAATGAAGAAAATTCAAAGCCTCGTACTTTAAATTAGTTTTCCCGATTGAAAAAGCCCTGAAAAAGTGGAAATTCGAAGAAAAACTGAATAAAAATGTAAACAACTCAATTGAAAATGGCCGACTGTCAAAAATGCTTCCTTGATTGAAATTAGCCACAAGCGATGTTGCCACATCAAAAACATACTAAGAAATATTCATGATTACTTGGAAATACTAAGAAATATTTGGAAATATTTGAAAATACTCAAAGATACATGGAAATACCGTGAAAATTAACAAAAATGGAAATCGGTGTACCAATTTTGGTAGGCTTGTGAAACACTTTTGAAAATAAAAAGGAATTTGTGCTTGAAATTAAAAGCACTTTGATAAAGGGCTTAGGGCTTAGTGCTTCAAGCCCTTTTACTGAGGGTTTGCCCAGTTCTGAAGTGAATAAACCGGTTATTCAAATAACCGGTTATTTTTGGACATCCCTAAAAGTATGTACATAAGATTTTTAGAACAATCCATTATTGTACTAAAATATAGAATGTTCCATTTTAAATTACAAAGTTCTGTTGCATAACCCTTAAGAAGCACCCTGCATATTCAATTAAGGAAAATACGAAAAACTACGAAAATTACAAAAATTACGGGTATTACGAAATATTACGGGAAAGAATTACAAAGTTATTCCAAAATTACGTGAATTACGGTAATTCCCAAAATAACGAAAATTACGAGTTTTTCAAATTACGAAAATTATAATACCTACCTCAAGAAGAACTAGAAAATTCCGAATTTTTTTGGAAATTAGGAAAGTTGAAAATTGAAAATACAAATAATTACTGGAATTACGGAAACATCACGATGGGAAAAGCGCGAAAAATTGCGGGAATAACGAAAATTACCAAAATTGAAAAAAAATAAGGAGGAGTTAGAAAATAACAAGAATTATCTGAGAAATAACAAGAATTAAAAAAAATTCGAAAAATAAGGAAATTACCAACTTTCGAAAATTTCAAAAACTTAGGGGGAATTATAAAACTAACGCAATTTTTTTGAGAAATTACGGAAATTAAAAAAATTCGAAAATAATGAGAATTACGAAAATTTCGAGTTTTTCGAAAATTGTAAAAATTAAGGGGGTATTATGAAAAAACGAGAATTATCTGAGAAATAACAGGAATTTAATGTCACCTTTTGACCGGTCCAAACTTATGAAAAAAAAAAAAATATTTTTTTTTTACAAGTGTCATTTTTTTTTGACAGGTCTAATAATATGAATTTTTTTTTATTTTTTTTTCAAATGTCATTTTTTTTAAAGGTCCAAATTTATAAAAAAAAAATTGTTTTTTTTCAAACGTCATTTTTTGACAGGTCCAATTCTATTAAAAAAAATTTTTTTCAAATGAATTTTTTTTTTGACAGGTTCAATGACTCCTATAAATTTTTTTTTTTTTTTCAAGTGTCTTTTTTTTGACAGGTTCAATAATATGAAATTATTATTATTATTTTTTTTACAAGTGTCATTTTTTTTTGACAGGTCTAATAATATGAATTTTTTTTTCAAATGTCATTTTTTTTAAAGGTCCAAAGTTATAAAAAAAAAATTGTTTTTTTTCAAACGTCATTTTTTGACAGGTCCAATTCTATTAAAAAAAATTTTTTTCAAATGAATTTTTTTTTTGACAGGTTCAATGACTCCTATAAATTTTATTTTTTTTTTCAAGTGTCTTTTTTTTGACAGGTTCAATAATATGAAATTATTATTATTATTTTTTTTACAAGTGTCATTTTTTTTTGACAGGTCTAATAATATGAATTTTTTTTTATTTTTTTTTCAAATGTCATTTTTTTTAAAGGTCCAAATTTATAAAAAAAAAATTGTTTTTTTTCAAACGTCATTTTTTGACAGGTCCAATTCTATTAAAAAAAATTTTTTTCAAATGAATTTTTTTTTTGACAGGTTCAATGACTCCTATAAATTTTATTTTTTTTTTCAAGTGTCTTTTTTTTGACAGGTTCAATAATATGAAATTATTATTATTTTTTTTACAAGTGTCATTTTTTTTTGACAGGTCTAATAATATGAATTTTTTTTTATTTTTTTTTCAAATGTCATTTTTTTTAAAGGTCCAAAGTTATAAAAAAAAAATTGTTTTTTTTCAAACGTCATTTTTTGACAGGTCCAATTCTATTAAAAAAAATTTTTTTCAAATGAATTTTTTTTTTGACAGGTTCAATGACTCCTATAAATTTTATTTTTTTTTTCAAGTGTCTTTTTTTTGACAGGTTCAATAATATGAAATTATTATTATTATTTTTTTTACAAGTGTCATTTTTTTTTGACAGGTCTAATAATATGAATTTTTTTTTATTTTTTTTTCAAATGTCATTTTTTTTAAAGGTCCAAAGTTATAAAAAAAAAATTGTTTTTTTTCAAACGTCATTTTTTGACAGGTCCAATTCTATTAAAAAAAATTTTTTTCAAATGAATTTTTTTTTTGACAGGTTCAATGACTCCTATAAATTTTATTTTTTTTTTCAAGTGTCTTTTTTTTGACAGGTTCAATAATATGAAATTATTATTATTATTTTTTTTACAAGTGTCATTTTTTTTTGACAGGTCTAATAATATGAATTTTTTTTTATTTTTTTTTCAAATGTCATTTTTTTTAAAGGTCCAAAGTTATAAAAAAAAAATTGTTTTTTTTCAAACGTCATTTTTTGACAGGTCCAATTCTATTAAAAAAAATTTTTTTCAAATGAATTTTTTTTTTGACAGGTTCAATGACTCCTATAAATTTTTTTTTTTTTTTCAAGTGTCTTTTTTTTGACAGGTTCAATAATATGAAATTATTATTATTATTTTTTTTACAAGTGTCATTTTTTTTTGACAGGTCTAATAATATGAATTTTTTTTTCAAATGTCATTTTTTTTAAAGGTCCAAAGTTATAAAAAAAAAATTGTTTTTTTTCAAACGTCATTTTTTGACAGGTCCAATTCTATTAAAAAAAATTTTTTTCAAATGAATTTTTTTTTTGACAGGTTCAATGACTCCTATAAATTTTATTTTTTTTTTCAAGTGTCTTTTTTTTGACAGGTTCAATAATATGAAATTATTATTATTATTTTTTTTACAAGTGTCATTTTTTTTTGACAGGTCTAATAATATGAATTTTTTTTTATTTTTTTTTCAAATGTCATTTTTTTTAAAGGTCCAAATTTATAAAAAAAAAATTGTTTTTTTTCAAACGTCATTTTTTGACAGGTCCAATTCTATTAAAAAAAATTTTTTTCAAATGAATTTTTTTTTTGACAGGTTCAATGACTCCTATAAATTTTATTTTTTTTTTCAAGTGTCTTTTTTTTGACAGGTTCAATAATATGAAATTATTATTATTATTTTTTTTACAAGTGTCATTTTTTTTTGACAGGTCTAATAATATGAATTTTTTTTTATTTTTTTTTCAAATGTCATTTTTTTTAAAGGTCCAAATTTATAAAAAAAAAATTGTTTTTTTTCAAACGTCATTTTTTGACAGGTCCAATTCTATTAAAAAAAATTTTTTTCAAATGAATTTTTTTTTTGACAGGTTCAATGACTCCTATAAATTTTATTTTTTTTTTTCAAGTGTCTTTTTTTTGACAGGTTCAATAATATGAAATTATTATTATTATTTTTTTACAAGTGTCATTTTTTTTTGACAGGTCTAATAATATGAATTTTTTTTTATTTTTTTTTCAAATGTCATTTTTTTTAAAGGTCCAAATTTATAAAAAAAAAATTGTTTTTTTTCAAACGTCATTTTTTGACAGGTCCAATTCTATTAAAAAAAATTTTTTTCAAATGAATTTTTTTTTTGACAGGTTCAATGACTCCTATAAATTTTTTTTTTTTTTTCAAGTGTCTTTTTTTTGACAGGTTCA